TCCTCTCCCTCTCTCCCTGCGTTCCTCCTGCGCAGAACACCAACATCCCGCGCGCCAACTGCAACAAGATGATCATGATGTTCACGGACGGAGGGGAGGACCGGGCCCAAGACATCTTCGAGAAGTACAACTGGCCCAACAAGACGGTGAGTCTCTGCGAGGGCCCGGTTAGCAGCAGGGTTAGGCGACACAGCAGCTCTGATCTGCATGCACTGGAGCCCAGGAAGCAGCGTGGGTCACTGCACTGGAAGATCTGGGAGGGAGATGAGAGGGGACCTGCGGGAACAGGCATCATTCCTTATTCAATGATCTGCTCCCAATGAACAGGTGATTGTCAGCAATAAAGGAGTCCAAAAGGCGCTGGTGGGGGCGCACCGCAGTCTGTGCATGCCTTCGCCAGAAGCTGAACCCCGCTGACAGAGTAGCACCCCGTGTGCCCGGCTGGCACAGCTGCAACAGTGCCAGGCGGACAGGGGGGAGCTCATTTCTGATGCTTCAGCTGTGAGGTCAGCGCGGGGCGGCGGGAGGGGTCACTGTGTCCGCTGAGGAGAAACAGCCAGGGCGAGCAAATCACCTCCCTCCGCCGTGCCAGAGCCAGCCGCGCCAGTCACGCCGTCTCCTGGTGGCGGGAGATCGGCTGCTTGTGTTAACTGCTCTGACCCGGCGACTAATTAGGCACTCAATCATCCGAGCTCGAGAGGCACGCAGAAGAGGATCTCTGTTCCTCTTTCCGCTTAGGAGCTCCATCTGTCTCTCTTCCCTTGCCTGCGCCGTTTACCCTCGCCCTTTCTTTCCCGCACGCTCCCTCGCTCTCGGAGCCCCGTATCTCAGTGGGCGGAGCGGTGGCACAGTGGCTCAGGATCTGCGCCGGTGGCTGGGAGGTTGCCGGTTCAAATCCCGCGGCCAGCAGAGGAATCCTACTCCGTTGGGCCCCTGAGCGAGGCCCTTAACCCCAACTGCTCCAGGGGCGCCGTATAAATGACTGCCCCTGCGCTCTGACCCCCAGCTTCTCTCCCTGTCTGTGTGTCTCATGGAGAGCAAGCTGGGGTCTATGAAAAGACAAATTCCTAATACAAGAAGTTGTATATGGCCAATAAAGTGATGTTATCTTCTCTTATCTGGGCGGGGGACCCGCTAACGGGTGCAGAGCAAGGAACGCTGAGGCGGTGAGGAAGGAGGGTT